GTTCAAATGGGCTCACTTTGTTCGACCCAGTGACAAATCAACAAAGTTGACATGTCTGAATTATCTACTTTTCACCGGCGTTATTATATGAGAATACCTGTATTCTACAGGGCCAACTGGTTTTGTCGAGTTGTCTGTTCCCTTAATTTATTGCTTTTCTGGGCTTTTGCGCCCGCCGGAGGATGGGGAGCTTTTTACTCGACGTGTGTAACTCGTAAATGAGAGCTTTTCAATACATCGGACTTTCAATGGCTCTTTGTCTTCTTTCCTCCGAATAGGTTCCAATCGTAGTGTGAACAATCATCAAGTGAATACAAAGCTGAATGGAGCTTTCAGTTCTTTGCGAATCGAGGTCTTTAAATTAACTGGAAATTCTTTCAAATTATAATAATTTAAACATAATCTTGAATGAATTTTATATGATAAAACAATTTAAAACAAAATGCTTGTCAGATTTGAAGGGAAATGTTTAGACCAAGAGGAAAGGAGCAATTCATGCTGGCAATGTAACTACTGATTTCTGTATTGCTCTTGCATCTAATTGACCAATTCGCCACTAATCCAACGTAAACCATAGTTGCTCTAAAAACAACATATGTATACTGAACTCTGACCTTAATCTCATTTACGTTTAAATATTAATATAGTCGATACATGCTAATTTAGAGCAGAACCAACTATTAACAACAACTATATTATTTAATCTGTCTGCTTTATGCTTTATGCTTTCTGTTCATCGCTTTGTTAAAAACATATGAGTTGTTATCTCAATGCCATAAATTATAAAATTAATAGTTTAATAACAAACCTGCTACGTAGCAATAACTGAGTTGGACCTTTTTGAAAAAATAGAATAATATTAGGAAATGTTTTTGAATATTGAAAAAGTTGCAGCCGGATTTCGCAATTTTTATCAGATATCTCAACATTAATTTATTTTCATTTTAATTATTGCTTTACATTTTTTTCTGTTAAATACCATGCTGTTTAGTCAACTATTAAAAAATCAACTATCTTTAATAGATTAAACATAAAAGTTGAAAAATTGTATAAAAATATGGATTTGTGAGTGAATTGCATATTGTGGGAAATAATAGTGCCGAATTACGAAATTTTTCTGATTTGAAATTGTTCAAAAATAAAATCATTAGGTGTTAAAGTTTCAGAAGAAGATAGAAGTCTGCATATTAACCAAATTGATTAGTTTCCGACCAATGTGAATAATATCCATTTAATTTGATTCGCGACCAAAAGCAAATCATGGTTACGAATTATCAGGAATTGTTTTATGAAACGCACTTTTTGCTCTTTCCTTTATACACTTACTTTTACAATGTAAATTTTGAAATTTAAATCGATTAAAAGGCGAATGAAATATTGTTTGCTAAATTACTCATACAATTTTTAAGCGTTGAAATGAACTAATCATACTGCAATGTTAAAAGAAACGTTTTAAATGAATTACAACAATTAATAGTTTAATAATTAAATATCAACCATGATAACGATGAAATATTAAAAAATTCAATAATAATGCAACAATATTATTATCAATACACAAAATTTTTGGTGCGGATTCGTTAAGTTTCATTAGAAAATGGATGACGATTAGGCTAAACCTTCAATACTTCCAGATGTTGCAGAACTGTATTCACGACGCCCATACAAAACAGTTCGTTTTTATTATTATTATTATTTTATTTTACTTCATTTATTTATATCCACAATTGTACATGTATTATATACAAGATTGGATTTCAAATTATGTGTTTGGCATTATGGGCGTTATAGAGAAAGCTACCCATTGGCAGCCGCTGTGGATTAATGAAATGTTATTAATCATTTAAGAGGTCTCTTATCCATATTCTTTTCAGACGTTTACGTGGTAATTGTGGAGAATGGAGTAATCGTATTTGTGTGTTGGTGTCATTTTGTAATTTACTATGAAAACGTCTGTAATATGTTTTGATGGATGAAAAAACTGTTGGGGTTTGAAGATCTCTGTGAAGTGTATTATTGTTTACATAAAAAGGGGCAGAAACAATTAGTCTTAAAATTTTGGATTGAAAACTTTGTAATCTTTGAATATTGGAATACTTGGCACTCGTACATCCAAATAGGTTTGAGTAGGTATGTGTAAGTTTTGATTTTAATGGTAATTTTGATTGTCGCTTGAGTAGGTAATAAAGAATTTTAAATCGTTTGTTCAGTGTCTGTTTTTGTAATCATGCGTCGTTTTTATTAAACCCATTTTGCCTCTCTTATTTGCTTTTCATCAAAACTATAACAAATTCACAGATCTTTGTAAACAGACACAGCTAATTTACACAGATAGGAAGAATATAACGAAAACACTCGAGGAAAATACACAGTTGTACTGGATAAAATTATGAATTTATTTGATGATACTTGTCTCAAGTTAAAAATGACTTCAAAGTCGTCCACCTTTTCAATCAATGGACGTAGTCTATGCTATGAATAATCGAAACACACTCTCCCCGAAGACCAGGTATTGTGGTGTTAGATGGGAACACGAATTGCTCTCGTGCCCAATATTGTGCTCCGATCCGCCGGGAATATTCTATTGCCTCAACTCCTCCTGAACCTCTTTGCCAAGGACGCAAAGAATGTAGTGGCATGGAAAGTTTTTGGGTTGGTTAGAAGGATTTAAAATAATAAATTCCTTTGAGTTTCCGTTGAGTTTTGAGGAATCTAATATTAGGATAATTATAATATAAAGATTATTAAACTGTAAATAGTAATAAAAAGATTCAAACGTCTATTTACAACTTTTTAGTTACTACATATAAATGCAATAAACAGTACATACGAAAACCAAATGGATACAATTTTCTTTCAGCTTTTACCTTTTAGCAACAGGATTTTGAAGTGATTACAATAAAAACAGTTAAGAAAGTGATTATGGGTTTTCCATCTTTGGTTACTATTTTGCGAGAAAGAGGTTCGACTGATAACTTTATTTAACTGCTGAAAAATGATTAGGGTTATTTGTAATTTATTATTACTCTATGAAATTCAATTAAACTAACCTATATATTTTTGTTAGTTGGATAAAACAAAATAGAAAATACAAACCAAAAATAAAAAAATGTTAATCTTAATTTTTAATAACGGATTTACTTAAGAATAGTAAACACGAAGATTCCTCATTTTGTAAAAAAAAAAACCTTTTCTCGTTTTTTCTCCATATTAATCCAGTTGTATTCTGTTTAATATGGAAAAACATCATCTTGAATCAGAAGTCGATAATATTATTGTGATAATAAGTCATCGAGGCCACCGGCATGCGGATATCGCAGAGGAAGTTGGCCTTTCTCAGAGCGTGGTCATCTTTAGCCCGATTCCGAGAGACTGGGATGGCATATAGGAGGCTGATAGTGGATCTCAGCGCATTACAACGCTAGGGAGTACAAATAAATTGTCATTGCTGCAAGACGGAACACTTTCCATGGTGCCAGCAATATTCTAAATGAAGTACAAGATGTTTTGGCAAGGCTTTTAACACAAATGATTCGAAATAGTTTTTGAGGAGTTGGCAACACACCGTATGCTGCTTTCAGCGAGCTGCAACACCAGCAACTCAGGAGAATCCTGGAGTGAGCGCTAAAAATTATAAGGCAAGTAAATACTACAAAATTTGCAATGACTCTATTAATCTTAGAGCAGTGTATATTAAATAAGCGATAACTCAAGAAAAAAATTAATTAAAAACAAATATTTTAAATCAAATGAAAAATGATGGGTTTACATTTTTTATAATCCATACATTTTCTTTACAACCCAACTTGGGTTTCAGCAATTTCTTCAGAAAACTGTACTCTCTAAAAAAATGTCTAATGAGTATTCCACTAGTTTATTTTAACTATGTAAGCTCATTTTATCGCAGAGTATACAACGAGAAGCAAACATATTTTACTTTAAAAATGAAAAAAAAATTTTGGTGACTGATATACTTTCAAAAGTTTTTTTTTTAATGTACCTAGGCGAGCTGAGATCCTTTGCAGAATATACATAACAAAAGCCTGTCAAAATAAACGGATTTCTTCCAACAAATTAATATCATAATAATATTCTTTATAGTATCCCAAGTCTTTAGATTCAGTTATATTTGTTTTTTGAATCAATTACTTACCTTTATGTACAAACTAGTTGTAACAAAAAAAATTTCTTTATAATAAACTTTTTGATAAGTACAATTTACTATAGTGTCGACGAAATGCTGTTTTATTTAAATATAACTCGTGCCAGGAAAGATTGTACACAAGTATCAAGTGATGGCTAAACCACAATTTTGGTTCAATGTTGATGATCGAAACCAGATTTATGGCTTATCCAAATAATGGTGTGGCACGGAAGGTTTAATACCTACTTGATCCTGATTCACAGGATCTGTCTCAAGGACAATAAATACTGCACTCAGCCACCTCGCACTGAAATACCATTGTCCTGACGAAGGTCCATCAAATAAAAAACAGTTTTCTTTTCAAAAGTATGTCGCAAACTCGTTTATTGCAAATTGTGCCACATATCCTAAACAAAATGGCTAAAGAAAAGTGAAGTTTGGTAGTCCTCACGTTTCCAAGCTGTACATGGCACAACCTGACTAATTTATAAATTGTTATTGAATTATTTGCCAGATGGAGATCAATATTGTGTTTTAGGTCTCGGGTTGTAGTTCCTCCAATTTATAATTTCTAGATATAACAAAAAAAAGTTGTTTAAACGAGGTAAACAGCAAAGAGAAGACTCATATAAAAACGGAACCTTATTGATAATAAATACAAGGAATGTAAAAAAAAATTAATAAAATGTATCTCTAAATTCCATATCTTAAGATGTAGTTCAATAGTAGTAGTCCACCGGTATAGGTACTCCTTTAGGGAACCTCATCTTAGAGGTCGTTGGTACAAAAAAATAGGGGGTGAAAGAAGTACTACATTCAAATTTTGCTAAGTGATGGATAAGTTAGTTGTACTTACGACGTCGATGAGCTGTGACAGCCTGAGACCCATTTTAACGGTAAGACGATCCGAGTTGTTGCCGACGGGCCGAATGAGCCGGTTATAGTTGGAGAGTAGGTCATCGTAGAGGCGCTTGGCTTCGGGGTTTCCCAACGCCCCCGTCATACACACAGCCCAAACCACCCCCCACACCAGCCCCATCTTACTACACCCCTGTAACAGATAAGACGAAAACAAAATTAATCGTGGCTTATTTGATCCAGGAAAATATAATCAATTAAAAAATTTTATGATTTGGTTTAAGGAATTTGTCAACTTAAGGAAAGAAACGGTCGGAGCAAGGTGAAGAGACCACAGGAAATAGGCTTATGCCGCTAATAATTTAATTTTCTAGTCGGCCTTTGTCTGGTAGAACGCATTTCCTCAGGAAATGGATTTGTAAACGTACCATCCCATTCATATTTTAAATAATTGTGTATAATCTTCTCGTATGGCCAAATAATAAATTAAATATATTGAAATCTTTAATGTATTTCATACAAACAAAAACAAAATATATTTGATAATATAAAAAGTCGAGGGTGTTAAGGATTTTGTATCTAGCCCTCACGAGCATACAAAAGTAGTATGTGCATTGGAACGGAATTTCTTAGGCAACAAAAATAAAGAAAGAACGTTGTATTGTGCCTATGTTTATCCACGACCTAAGAACAAAAAAAGTTTCATTTTTAGCTAGAGAACATATTCCTGTATCATATAAATGTGTACATTTTGTGCTCTATTCCAATAACAGACTTTTTGAGTTTTTAAACGGATAAATTTCTGTATCACCATGAAGCACAACAAATCAAACGTTGATAAGGTGAGCCCTCCCAAAAACCCCTACAGGTCATAATCTGAATTTTAAATCTATTTTTCTTTAAAGAAATAAAATGCGTAGAAGATGGTCTGAAATATAAGCGTGCAAAACTCTCGTATCTTTAATTTTTTAATACTATATAATAATTATTTTAGGCCAATTAGTTTATATTGAAAAATCACAAACTAACAGAAAAATCATTTGTTTTTGTATTTAATTTTATGTAATGTTTATTTTTAATTCTAATTTCTTTTCACGGGGTTTTATATAAGAATTAGTTTTTTTTTAATTTTCAGATTATCAGAAAAATTCTTTATTATCTAATTTTATCTAATTTTTAAATTTAATTATAATTAATTTTCCTATGGAATTTTAAGAGGCGAATTATGTTATGATAAAAAGAAATTTTGCAAACATACATAATTTTTTCAATATGTACATTGTATACACTATTTGGATATATCTGTTCTCCATAAATAGATCCGACAATATCCTCAAAAAGGGTTAATTTGACGGGAAAAAAACTAAGAATATGCACCTACCTTTTAACTATTAACAACGGAACATGCTTTTTAGCACATACTAACAATGATGATACAAATAAAAATCCCAAAATTGTACCAATTCAATGATCAGTTCTCCAGATATTCTTTTTACAATTTAATCATATTTTTCTTTGTTATTCGTTTTATCGTTTTTGTTTGTAAATAAATTCAAAGAAGTGAGAGTGCTCTTTACTGGTCACTGGAATCTGAGAAGCCGCCTACACAATGTTGGTATATTAATGATGACCTTGTTTGTAGATTGTGCAGTGAGAAGGAAGAAACTGCCATCTTTAAGTGAAAAACAACCGCTCAATGTTGACATAAACTTGGTACCAAGAATAACCGGAAAAATGAATCAATGTCCAGTTTCTTAAAAGGAAGGCTCAGTCAATTAAGCTGAATTCAGAAACTATTAAAAATGACAATAAACACATAAATATACAGCAGCATAAATTTCTAATAATGATCTAGTTTACATACAGAAAAGCAATAAATTGAATAGGAAAAAATTACACAAAATCCGAAGTGGTCAATTTTGTTTAGTAAGAAATGTATCAAATTCAATCTATGACTGTAGAAGAATACATAAAGAAGCAACATTATTTCATATAAAAAATTATTACCATTAAAATAAATTAATACTATTTTCCTGTAATATGTTTTTTTCTTTTACCAGGGTTCGCAACAGCAGAGGTCATATAAACCTCCAGGGAGCCAGTGTTTTTGAAAAAAAGCCCATTTGTTCGAGCCGCTGGATTCGAACCCGGGACCTTTGCCTTTCAGTGATGAGCGCCGTGTCAACGCCTAAACCGTTGCGGCCACCGACGCCCCCAATATGTTTTTATTTTAAACCATAAAGTTCAAGTAAATTTGTAATTCTATATTTCCCGAAACAATTTCGGGACTTAAGGAGGGGAGGTATAAAACGACAGCTTATTTTAACCGATGACTTTCACGGAAGGTTGTAGTAGTTATTCGTTTTGCATAATTCAAACATAGTAAAAAAAACTGGTTTTGTATTTAGACAGTTATAAAATAACATAGTAAATATAATTCTTCCTTCAGAGGTGAGCTAACAAAGTTTTTGATTTGGTAATTGCAATAATAAAATTCGAGAAAACGATCATTTTTTTCAACTTGTAAATAACATATATAAGTATATACAACATATATACAAATATATAATTATATACAATTAAATTCTTTTTAGGAAGAAATTTTGTAGAAAAAAAAACTTTTACGAAAAGAACAGTATACAAAATATTGTCACAGAGACAATGCCATCTAAGTATTTTAAAAATTTCTTAAATATTCACAATATAGATATTGCCTTCTTAAAATAAAAAAATTAAAAATAAATAAAAACGTTTCGAACTTGATCAAACGCTGTAAACGAATTTAAAGAAAGCAAAAAGAAAACAAAACATAAACTTGAACAAAAAAGAATATTTTCGCGGTGCAAAGCCGACGGTGGATTCTCGGGACCTTTCTTTCTAGCTGTACTTTACCAATCACCGCCCAATCAATACCGGCCTCTGTACGCCAGGAAATTCTTTTGTTCCTTGTCCCCTTCCACGGACCGTCAACAACAAAACAAAAATTCACGCCCTAGCTGTTTCTGGTTAATGAGGTTTGATTTGATTTATTTTTGTTTTTTAAATCTAGAAGATTTCTCTTTTTATCTGTGGGCAAGTGGGTTGAATGTTCCTAGGTACACCTGCTCTGCATAGAGCTACACTTGTGACACAAATATCAATAAACTTCAAGTCATACAAAGAAATTTTTATGACTTGCCAATTCAACTCCGAGATATAAAAGGATTACCCAAATCCATACGGAAACTGGCATAAAACGGATTCGCGACGTCATAGCCATGAGCACGAAACAATTTTTTGCACGTCTCTCTATGGTCCAATATGCAATCTGCAGATCGGTAGGGATATACCACAGTTTATTGGAAACATAGGAGAATAAAGCATAATATAATGTAAAGACAATGATAAATCATGTAACTAATACCTATGAAAAATATTTGATTCCTTAATGATACAAGCGCTTGTGTGTTATACCAGTGATATTTATATTTTGCCATTGTTTTAGAGCTATGCCATATTTATTTAAATTTAGTTATTTAGTTATCTTTAGTTATCTTTATTTTTTTTATTTTAACTTATGATTTTTTTTCTTGAAGGTAGGATAATAGGTCATCTCAAAAAAACCACAACCAGTTTTTATCCACACGTTTCGGATTTATTTTAACACTTCCTCAGGTGAGTTAATGCAATGGTTAAAACAGTGGTCGTCTATCATTAATATTTTTTAACAGATTATTTTAAAACAGAGCCAGTGTGATACATATTTAAAACTTTCAGACTCCGAACAAACGTTTTTTGTTTGACGACCACTGTTTTAACCATTGCGGTAACTCACCTGAGGAAGGATTAAAATAAATCCGAAACGTTGTGGATAAAAACTGGTTGTGGTTTTGTTGAGCTGACCTATAATCCCACCTTCAAGAAGGAAAAATCCTAAGTTAAACTGTTGATGTCGAAATATAAGAAAACATCATTTTTTTTATTTTGGTAAATTATTTTCTTGCTGTTTATATTTTATTGTAGTTTATGTTTTACACTTATGGTATTGTTATTTTTAGATATTTTGGATTATAGTTAACATCTATTATTATTTATTATTAGTCAAAACTTGCTAAATTCCCTTAAAATGGTTTTAATTGCCAAAAAGGAGTCAACTTAGATGATTACTAGTTTTTGGTAAACTTTTCCCCACTAAGTGAAGCCGAGGTTTCTACAATACCTAAAGTATTTAATTTTTCGGATGATTGCTTTAGTAGGACCGAGCCTTGCTACTTTTCTCGTAAATTCTAAATTTATGTAGTACCTATGTTCTATGTAATTTGTCAATAAATATATTTCTTACTTATTAACTTCCTAGGAATGAACTCACTGCAAATTTACTCGAAAGTTAAAGGGGTTCAAAGATTATGTTTGCTGAAAGAAATATGGTATTTGTAGATTTAAAAAAAAATGCTATTTAAACAATATTTATCAAGTTCATCAATTCTGAAGTTGTTGTGTATTTTTTAGCATTTTATTGTATTGGTTTGGTATTGTGTTTCGCTAGATTTATGATCAGTTAAAAAATATATTATTCTCTTGATATTTCAGTTTTACAAAAACAATTAAACTTATAGCAACATCGCTCTATAGTCTGATTATTGGCTAACGAAAATAAATTAAAAACATAAATAAAAAAGTATTCGGATATTCTAAATATTATTTCGGTTTGAAGAGAAAAGTTGCTCTATAGAAATAATGTGATGGTCAATGCATTTAATGATTTATAAAATAGTAACAGCACTACTGCCACTTATTTAACCTTTCAAACTAGTTAAGGTTGCTCAACGTGTCTCACTTAATAAAAAGGGTGTCATTCCTTGGCACAATATAGAAAGGAGTAGGAATGCGATCCGATATGAGAATTTGCTCGAACACGGCAGCCAATTTTTGAGCCCTTTATTCTGATTTTGAGATAATACCGGGGTATTTATATNCACGATTTTCCGACGCCAGGACGTGATATCTTTCAAAATCGATAAAAAGCGAAATTACTCTGAAATGGTTGAGAATCGGACCATGGACAATATGAACTTTTTTGTTCATTTTAGGGTGAAGAATCTACTGGAGAAGTTTGTAGCACGAGTAGCAATTCACCCTGTATATATATATATACGATATATATATATATGTGTGTGTGTGTGTGTGTGTGTGTGTGTGTGTGAGAGAGAGATA